ATCATTTGTCAGAGTGCTAAAACATCATACAAATACAACCATTTAGGCAAAACTGACGTGTATCAACAATGTTAGCTCAAGTAGGATTAGTTTGTTCCTCATCATATTTCAGGGTGTTAACACGCTAACGTTCTAATTAAGGCTAAATACAAAGTACTACTGACGCTTATGAGAATGTCATTAGTTCCACAGGTGGGATTTCTCAGAGCATTAAGAAGATTCACCCTCTGGGCACCATCAATATCTGCACTGAATTTTTAATGGCAATCAATTTGTAAGTTGTTGAGGAATTTCAACACAACTGTCTGTCTGACAATGGCACAACATTTCATGAAAGTTCCTTCAATAGCGGCAATAAGTGAAAAATCAGGAAACCAGTGAAAAATACACAACAGTACCACCCGCTCATATTCTCAAGTGCAAAACACCAATAAAACACAGACAATAAAACTAAATGAGGAATTTCAGAACTGCTACTGCACGAAAAGTAACTAAAAAGATATTCCTTTGCTCCTACTACTCAAACCAACTTTGGTACAAATGAATATAAACAGAGAAAAGTCCACTGTTTACCCCTCAATTACTGCTAATGGGAAATAAATGTGTGTTCCTGCAGAGTTGTCCAGATGCCCCAGTTCTGCATGTGGAAAAACTTTCAGTCTGGACGGGCTCTGAAGTTTCTGGGGCCCGAGGCAAGCAGTGGGACAAAAGACTGGCAGGGAGAGATGAATGGTGGAGAGAGGAGGGTGGAAAGAGGCTAGGGAATGGAAGGCTTGATGTTCAAGGGCAAGGGAAGGAGGCAAATGAATGCAAGAACAAATTGGTCAGGAAAGAAAGAAACTTTGAGGTGAGTTTTGGGTGGAAGTTTAGGCCAAGTAATGATGGTAGAGACTGATCGCACGGGTAATAAGATGATACCGACAGCTGTGTCAGAGGCTTTATTGGCTTTTTTATGTTTTGTTTTGTACTCTGCTTCGAGCTTAGGTTTTATTTCGTTATTAAACGCTTTCCTGTTCGGATGCATTTTGAGCATCTTGTTTTTAGCCAATCTAACTGTATGGATTTTAAACCATTGACCTTAGTAGCCCTGTGACTGTGGTGCCACTATAGACTCAACAACTGTTGGTACAGATGTTCATGGTCCCCAGAGAATGACCTTGAAAATATTAAGACCATTACTTTTCATGTAATGCCAAGTGAAGGTTTTGAGCAGATATCTCAACTGCACTTTGTTTCTTGCTATTTGGCAAATGCTAACATGCTAACACAGCATGCTAACATGCTAAGCTACGGCAATGATAGCAATTAATGCAATAATGAAAAGCACGATCATGGTTCTTAGACAATGGCAGTGTCCCAATTTAGGGACCTGCTTATGAAGGGGCATTTGTCTTACTAGCTGTTACCTCTCTTATTCTGTTTCACATTTTATGACTTTAATTGTTGTGACCCGATGGAGCTGGAAATGTAATTCTTTTGTTTTGTTTCATTATTTACCTGAGTAAATTGAAACAACCCTATAAGTATAATCTTTGGTTCCATTTGTGGATTCCACCATGTTCTCAAAATTTCAACTGTCTCTGGCAAACAATACAACTTGTTATAGGTTGAGAAGGTAAGGTTCCACTTTTAGCAACCCAGGAGAAGAAGGACACATTTATAGAGCACATGAAGGAGACTTTGTAATGAAGCAGTCTTTGTTGCACCTCTGCATTTAGTCTTTGAATGCTGCCTTAGCATAATGCAGTCTCTGAACTGGGACAATGCTAATATATGCTAATGACTTTAGTGATCCCTTATCATTATATCTAGCAACCTGGTCAAAAGTGTGTTGTGTCCTTTATTTGTTTATATTCATTTAACTGGTAATCTTTCAAGATGGTATGCAATGAGTCTTTATAGCTACACACTGCTTCTATTATTTTTAATAATATCAACTACAGCACAGTTATCTCATTGAGTAAACAGGATAGATTTTGCACTTTAGCATAAAATGATTTATTTCCCCTCAGTTCAGGCATATTTTCATGTTACACTCTTGCATGACCCAAAACACAAAAACGTATATATCTGAGTTTTAAGGTGTGGCTCAGGTGTAGATATAAACCTAAGGGCATTCCCATCAGCCTTAGCTGCACTTTGTGTTTGGTGCTAATTAGACTGTTACTTTGGAAATCTCAGATAGTGATCGTGGTAAACATTATACCTACTAAACCTCAGCATGTTGACATTGCTGTTATCAGCTCAAAGCACCGCTATAAACAAGTAAAGCTTTTCATAGTGCCATTAGCGTAGCTGTAATGTCTTATTATTATTTATGAGCCCTCATGATAGATATCTTGGGTTAAAAACATCCGGCAGAAGAACCCACAACCTCCTCTCCCCTTCAATGATTCACTCAACTTGCCTCGAGGATGTTCGACGGCAGCTGGCAGTTAAATGCCAGGTTTTCTACCTTCTGGAGACAATATTTTGATCTCTAAAGGCACTACCCGAATATGGGTTGCATTTGGCACGGAGCAGCCAAACACAGTCAAAAATGATCTGTGTAAGCAGGGGGCATTCCAGTAACGCTTTCATCTAGTATCTGTGTCCTTATGTTGCCTTATGCCTCTGTAATCACTATCAACTGTAACTCAGATCTCTTGATGAATGAATGAATAAGACAGCAGTGTAAACAGGACATTGGCCTTCCTTCTTAGTGTGTTTTGGTTTCAAACCTTAGAGTTGGAGGGAAGAAAAACTGATACTGATTTGATTTCGTTGCAGATCTGATTCAGTGGCAGCGAGCCTGTCAGATATGAGAGTGTTGGTGTTGGACATGAGTGGTGTCTGGAGATGCAGCCTGGGTGAGCTCAGTGTCTCAGGCTGCTCCACATCCAGTGGGAGGAACATGAACAGATCTCTCTCTGTGCTGCTTCTCTGCACTAGAACCCAGACCACATTGTGAAAACTAAAACAATCTGAATTCTCAGAAATCCTGTAATTTTCTTCTTTTTTTTTCATTTCTTTCTGGTTTTCCTTTTTTTCTTTTTTTTTGTGTGGCTAAATACGGCTCAGTGGCGCTGGCAGCATGCTTATCCCAACTGTATCCACTGTTGGGCAGTTTTTGATCCAGTGTTATTCCAGATTCATATCATTTAGAAAGAATGTATGTTTGCACTTTCACAGTTTATGGTTTCAGTCAGACTCACTGTAACTGTCAGCTTTTTGAACAATGAATGGGCTGGCGTTTGTCTCGGGTGTAATTTGTTTACAACGCTGTGTGGTTCTCTGATGCGTCCATCTACAAATAAGTTTGGATTTTCACATTATTGCAGTTGCATGTGGGTTGTAGTCGTTGCCACAAATAGTTCGCAGTTCATGATAAAATGGATGGCTTCCACGTGTTCTCAAATCTGTGAAATGCATACATGCTCACATAATAAAAGGCAATTTTAAAGGTATCTATTGTTAAAGCATGTTGAGGAACAGTACACTAGAAATACATGTAGGCCCATTTACCTGAACAGAGGACGCTTCTGTACGTCTAATAACTGCAGAATTTATTCACACTGCGTTACATGTTGCATACATATATATTTACTAATTACAGTTTACAATTCTTATTTCTCTATGACGAAGGGGCTTTCAACTAAATCCAACAGTATCCATGAGAAAATCAAATTCGCACAGTTGTCATGGAAATGTCTCACTTCATCGTTTTCACTGAAAGTCTTTTACAAACTAATTATGAGGTTGGATAAAAAAATTTCACTCAAGACCCACTCACTAGATTTTCATGGAGTTTTCAACCACATCTCCTGGTCTTCATCAGTAAACAGTTAGGCTCATACATCATGTCCCATCCAACCATAATGAAAGCCATAAGACGTGGTTCAAAACTGCTGGTAAGAGAAACTTGGATTTGGAAAAAAAATATTCTCACCTTTAGCAACTGAACAAACTGAAGACCATGTGATATAGTCAAAAGCTCCAGAAAGGCTTTGTGAAATATTCTGATTTGTAAAGCTCAAGTTTGTTAATCCCTCTGTTGTGAATGAACTTTTTACACTAATGTTATTTCTGCTGAAGCTGCGGCATTTCCACTGGGATTATGATCCCATCTTGTGACCCTGATTGATGGTTACTCTAGATAAGATAATGCTTAGTCTAGTCTTTGTGGGTCTTGGTGGCTTCTTACAAGAAAAACATCCACAGTTGACTGTAAAGCACAATATGCCTTGTTGTTCTTGGTGAGATGAATGCCGTGGCATTATGGGGGACCATGTGGGCGTGAGCGCACAACGCATTTATGTCAATTATAACTGGGAGAAGAAAAGACATTTTGACTCTGGAATCCTGCCCTTGCTTTCTTGTCTTTTCTGTGCTGTGGCTTTGATGGTACAGCTGAGGGCTGCGTTTCTGTGGCAGAACGTTACAGCCTTTTCTTTGGACCTGACATCCTACACCGACCGCCGTCCCTGTGGACACCTTTGGATCCCCCCTCTGAAGCTGGGGAGAGCCACCTGTTTCTGGAGGAGGAGACTGTGGTGGGAAGAGAAGACAGAAGAGTCGGTTGTGGATCAAGCAGACGCTACATTCCGGCTGGACACACGTATGGAGGAATGTTTGGATTTCAGCAGCGTACTCCTCACACAGCCTGAAAAGAAAAGCAGATGAGTGGTTGAATGAGAGGGAGAGAAAGAGCAAGAAGAAAAAAAAGGAAGGACCAGTCTTGATTTGCAGAAGGGAGTAGCGTGAGGAAGGCAGAGAAAGGTGAGCTGCAAGTGTGTCATGAAAGAGAGGATTTGCTGGGAGAGAATAGACCGGAGCCCCAGCAGGGAGTGAAATAATACTGCAGTCAGACCCACCTGGAACAACCAGAACAGCTGCATAGCAGTCGAAGAAAGAGAAAAAGATTAAGCCTTGTTGCAGAGGCGCGGAAACACTGTATTTACTACACTTCAAAACAGGTGAAGTCTGCGAAACGAAACAGTGCATAGCCTGAAGGAAGAGTCACCGAGATGATGTCTGCGAGGCACCGTCGGCGTTGCCACTCCCTCTCTGATGAGGCTGAGGAGACCAATGGGAACCATGCAGATCCTGGACCAGAACCAGAAGCTGACGAGCTGGACTGGGACAGCTACAGCACCACACTGGAGCACAGATTAGCAGCTGTGGGTAACACTTACAACATGTGTGGTTGATGGTGGAGTTTACACGATGCTGGTAATGTTAAAACTCAGAAGTCCCTGTTCTCAGCAAGACAGACAAAGTTGGGGGGAAAAAAAGCAGGTGTTCCTTATGTTAACTATAGCTCAGGCACAGACCCATGGCCTTGTATCTGCCAACACTTGTTCCATCGTTCAAGGATTTATTTTTGACTATAATTACAGTAAAAGGACTTTATGAGCAACATGGATTAAACATTTGTTGCTGTGTTTTAGCTGTTAATTTTTTATTTGTTATTTAGTTTATATATTTAACATACAGTGCCTGTTACCAGTTAAAGCATTCATGTAGTGATATACAATCAGGAGCGTCTGTTTTAAAAATTAACCAGATGCTCTGGACCTCTTGCCCAGCTCGATCTGCTGCTTGATGCAGCTTCTGTCAAAATAAACTCAGGCCTTACTTTTAGCTGAGCAGAGTTGCTTCTGAGACGCCATGAGAATATGACAGAACCTTGACCTGAAGCAGCTAAATGGTATGCAGCCATCCCTTATTTCACGACTTACACCTGCATTTTTCCTGTTGTGGTTAACTCAATGGATGTAGAATGCTGGTAAATGTACGCTCATTTCATTCGGCTTTGTCTTTTTTTTCCGCTGTCTGTGTAATACCATTTTCTTCACGATGAGAAACAACACCAGAAACGTCCGAACAGCAACCGACCACACTGAAAAGTTGAAGTTTGCCAAGAATTTGGATCACACAGGATGTCCACAGGATCCATCAATTTCTCTCTTCCCATTCGTTGTGTATGTAAAACACTCCATACAGTGTTCTAAAGCATCGCGGGGTGTTCCAAGCAATGAGGCCTAGCGTTGCCCATGTGCCCATTTGCATAAAGTAGACTTGACTTCTACTTTATGTAAATTTGGAGCAGGTAGCAGAGGTTGGACGCCTTGCGTAATGCTCATAAAATGGCTAAACTAACCGTTGTTGAATCAAAATGAGGACAGATTTAGCAACTGCATAGCTTATTTCTTGCCTCAGATGTTTTCAGTAATAATTTTTGCTGAATGGTTTTTGTCAAAAAAGTGAAAGTTTGCTGCCAAGCCGCCATGTTGGTTTTCTAAAGGACTGGCGTCTGGTGATTGGAAGAGCTGCTGTCATGTGACCACCTAGTGGCCAACTAGTGCACGACTATCAAGCAGGCGATATTCAGAAGCAACGTGTTACCGTGTTGTAAAATTGCCCCTGTGGACACGCAGCTGAAGGCAGGGTTGCTAGTTTTTTGCAGTGGATTAATTATTTTAATGACAGTGATTATTTCCCTGCAGATGCTGCCCAGAGCTAGCTGTCTGTCTGTCCGCCCAGAACAATGTCGTCCCCTACAGCTGTTTGTCTGTCTGGGGTGGTGTCATGGAGTCATGTTTCTGTTAAAGCAAACACACAGCAGTCTTTCCACTCTCTGTGGGTTTCTCTCAGCAAATGTAGCTCGTCCAGCTTGTTGTCGAGGGGGCGGACAACAGAGAGTAGGAGTCCTGCTGGTCTGGAGGGGTTAGCCTTTAGTATGGATCCCGGTTCTCTTCCTCCTCCTTTGTTTACATTTGTACTGTTTGCATTTCCTTCTCTCTCGGGTAGCTGCCGGCGTAGCCTCCGATCGGACTCCGTGTTGGTGTAGTATGTCCAGATCACAACCGATCGCCGCAATTCCAGCGGCGTTCACTGTCCTGATGCCCAGCAAAGTCTCCCGACCACAAGTTTTGCGGAATGGGATAGACAAGACACTCAAAACGTGCACTTTCCTTGTCTCCTGAAGGGGCCGCTGCATGGATGCATGGCTGTAAAATCCATGTTATGTCTCCACATGGGGTAGATAAACACTGACTGTTCAATTTTGGAAAAATAGTGGCTTTTGCACAATTAAACTTAATGATTAACAAATCAGTAAAATCAAATCACACATGCAGAACATAGATGATAGAGCAGACTGATGAAGGGATACTGGCCTGTCTGATAAAAAAAAAAAAACAACATATCATTGACCTTCTTACAGTAATGAAATAAACTTTCTTCAGTTTTTTTTACACATTTTTTTTCTTAATTCCAGATTAATGCATCCACACCTCTGTTGTGCCGGTATGTTTGTAACGGCTGTAGTGTTTAATCCATGGACATTGGTGTGTACATGTGGTGTGTGTGTTGAATGGACTGGTATTCCATTCATGGCTGCTAACAGCTGTTCAGTAGTGACGAGGTGAAAGTGTTAATGGTGCAAACAGCTTAGCACAAGAAACCAAATGATGTGAGGAGGTTTTTAAAAAAAAAAAAGGCACGGAAAGAACTCCAACCAAGTACTTTTATGGAAATAAATGCAGATGGAAATGTGGTTGCTGATCATTTGACAAATGCCCAGATATTTGGGTATGCTATTAGCTCGTTCCAAATGCCTTGCCCATGATGACTGGCCCATAACAAAAAGTAACAGGAACCAGAGCAGGCTCTCACAATCAGGTCCCTTCACTCCTGTTATGGACGGCAGTTGACTAAGTGGTCTGGCTCTTGGTAGAACTTGCTTATCTGGTCAGTGCGGCACGTCACCGTGTAGCCTTTGAGCTCTATTATATTAAGGCAAGTGCAAACTAACAAAGAGAAGGTTTCTTCTGACTTGAGGGAGGATAAGTTTCATCTTGTGCCGTAACCTGCGGTAAGATTCTCTCTGCATGAACTAATTGTCTTGATGCTTGCGTCAGCTTCTGTTACTGAGCTAATCCCTTCACATTAACCTTTAATCCCGTAGCTTTTTACAATTTGCATCAGATTTTTCTTACCTCACTTGGCCTCACTGGTTTCTCAACTTCACTACTTTGCCACTCCAAAGCTACAGTATATTTGCAGTTCACTTTAAAGTATCTCAAAATAGAATGAAACAGTTTGGATGTTATTGCGTGAACAAAATTTAAATCATTCAAATGTGATTGTTGTAACAGGGATTGTTGTTTAGATTCAAGTGCTTTTAAAAGCTTAAAAGCAAGCTGTGAGAGAAATGCAATTAAAATCAGACCTGCAAGTTTGCATGCAAGGGTCTAAGGACTCAGTGCAGCATAACGTTGTATAAAAAAACAGAAGCAAAACTGGACAAAGAAAATATATGTAAATATAAAATATAAATATATGCAAATTAACTCCAGTCAATCCTGAATCTGTGACACATAAATGTACAAATGCATTAAAATACAATTTGGCTAAAAACAAAAATCAAGCTGACAATCCACATCGAACTCTCTTTGTGTGTCACCAGGAGCAGGAGAGTGCCCAGGCGTCCGAGCAGCGCTGCGCCCAACTGGAGAAGGCCCGGCGTGAGCTGGAGCGGCAGCTGTCAGGCCTCTCAGACCGGCTGGAGGAGGAGGAGGTCTGCTCAGCCCAGTTGGCCCTCCACAGGGACAGGCTGGAGGCCGAGTGCGGCAGCCTCCGACGAGACCTGGACGACCTGGAGGGCGCCCTGACGGCGGCTGAGAACGACAAACAGGTAGATCATTGTGGGATGCAACGATGACTTTTCTGCATTATGTCATTACGTAATTTAAAGGCTATAAATTAATGTTGCAAGGTGATCTTGATTTTGATATTTTAACCATGAAAGTAGAGCTATTCTAAACAGGGATGCTACAGTTGACAATTTTCCAAAAAGTACCAATGAATTTAAGCTAACCTGTAATTTATTTATTTAATAAATTGCTTTAAAAAGCATGATGCGCATTATTTTTGTTTGCAATTCTGCAATCAGAATCAGCTTTATTGCCAAGTGAGTTCGCACACACAAGGATTTTGTCTTGGTAACTATAGCACTCACAAAAAGTTAGACAAGAAGCGCTATATAAAGACATAAAAACAGCTTCAGTCATATTGTACATATAACATGTGATCTGTGAACAGGAAGAGACATTACAGGTAAATAAATAAAAATGTACACTTTAAGTGAAGATAGGATATACTACAAAAACAGTGGCATTACATTTATATTTAAGTATTGCACATAAATTGGATGGGTTCCAATATTGCACATGAGTCCAGTATTGAATGAATCCAGTGAAGAACCCACAGTACTTCCACAAACATTTTCTCAGACGCTACAGTGTCTCCACACAGCTTTACTCTCTGGTGTCCTCCACCATTTTTATTTTTTAGCTTACTAACAGGTAGGGATGTCCGATCTGGCCAAAAGGTCTGGACGATCATGAGGAGTAGAATCACGAACCACGATCTGAATCACAAAGTAACGTGAAAGACCAACACACACACATACAGTACCCCTGTCTTCTTTCTGATTTTACTGGAAAGTACTGACAAGATAAACAAATTTGCTAGAAGTGTGACATGTGAGCTCCAGCTGCTACAGGGAGCTCAAAACAATGAGTTTCATAATGGAGGCTTTCCCTTTAACTTTTGCTCACAGGCTACATACAGGCTGCCTCGCCTGGCTGGTAAAGGTTGTTGGGCAAGTATGCAGCTCTAAAGAAACATCCGCAGCAGGTAGTTTTAGTGTAATCCTGCTTAGACACAAACAGACAAACAAACGGAACAGAAAACAAACCTCCGCCTCAGCGGGGAATTCTCCAAACTTTGATGCAGACTTGCAGTGACAAGATATCAAGGAACTGTGTGGTTATGTGAATGGGTTGTGTTAAAAGAAGTTGATAATGACAGTCATGTCAGTATCTGTCTCCATTTACTACATTTCTTAATTAAAACTCAAAAGCCACAATAGGATCCAAATTGAAGTTTTGTGATACTGTGAATGCTTCACTGGATTTGGTATCTGGAGTGTTTGCCTCTTTGTTGTGTTCCTTGAGTCGTTCCAGTGCAGCTTTTTGAGGGGTGATGGGGCTTATTGTGCTGCTGGGGGAGGCTGCTGGGGTCTGGGAGTTCTTCTGATGTTATGTTGGTGGTATACGTCAGAGTAACATCCACGTGAATGCAAGGTTTCCCAGTAGAACATTGTATCATAACAAGATGATCAATGTAAGTCACTTCATTTGCCAGTGGTTTTTATACTGTGGCAGATGGGCGTCTATCTAATTTGCATGATTTGATGTATATTTTAATTTCTAGTTAATTTTGTCCTAAAAAAATACATCTGAATTGACCAAAGAATTGAACATCAGTCAAAAATAAGGCAGTCATGTACAAAGATCTTTGAGCTTTAGATGCAAATACAACATTATGTAACAGAAAACATCATTCAGGCCAAACTATGAAGAAAAACAGAACAATTTATATTTGTTGTATTATTACTGATGTTGTGTTTTGTGGCTTTGCGCAAAGTGGATGCTTGAGCTTCCCACTTCTTTCCTTACATTTGCTTTGATCAGGTTTAATCATCAAAGGTTAAAATTAGTGGTGAGACGCAATTAAAAGAAAAAATGTAATTAATTAGAGGCTTTTTAATTAATTAATCATGACTAATCCCTTTTTTTAATCAAATATTTGATACAATAAGAAAAGGTTTTTAATTAAAATAAATGTTGGTTGACGACTGAATCTATGAGTAGACATACGTGAACTTAAACAACAAGCAGGTTTCTTTTTCATCTAGGTTTAGCGATGCATTTTTCATCTGCCTACTACATTCACAGATTAGTGCAAACTGAAAGTGCAATAATAGCGATTATATTCAACATTTTAAGACTTTTTTATCTTATTGTCGTGTTCTGGAGCATTGCAGGGAGTTTTGAGTGACGAGGCATTATTGTTGCCACCATTTGCATAAAGTAGACTTGACTTCAACTTAATGCAAATTTGGCAAATTTTGGTAAATTTTGGCAAAATGGCCCCTGTGGAGACATAGCATTAGCCCTCGATAAGAAAAACAGCTTTCCGCCTGACAAGCCAAGCAACGCAGTCTCGTCTTCATCACTGCTCACCAAACTTTCTCGTGCGCTGACGTCACTCAAAGTGTCCTGTACATCTTCTTCGTGACTGGCAAACAAACTTTAGGTGCATTAGCGCCACCTACTGGCTGGAGTGTGTGCATCAGTGTTACCAGTGTGCCAGAAATTAGGGAACTGAGAAAGTTTCCAGAATAAATGATTCATTTTTTTTAACAAGTTTTTTCCCCTGTAATGAATTAATCATAATTAATGCGTTAAAGTCCCAGCCCTATAGCTACATTGTAATTTTTTATGCTGATGATACACACACTTACATTCAGCACCCTGAGCGCTCTGATTAGCTGCTTGTCAACAATCAATAAATGGATGAACGGTAACTTTTTAAAGCTGCGCCAAGATAAACAACATAGAAATTCCTTATAGTCAGCCACCCAAAAGCCAAAAAAAGATATGCCTAGCATATTAGCAGCCTCAGTTTTCAACCCTTTTATTGTATCCATTTATTCTGTTTGTGGTGACCTTTTTTCTTTTACTGTGCTCTATCTCTGACACTGAATGTTTGTTTGAACAAGTTTGTAACAAATTACAGAGCAGGGAATCATACTATCGTCTGTCCCAGTTTCACCTTTTTCTGTGTTATAAATTGTAGCTCACAGTTAAAGTGTCTTCCCGCTTCAACGAGTTTTTCCACGCTGAGATGAAGCACCGTCTCCTCTGTGCAGACACTAACAAGCAGACACTGCTCTGACATCTCCATTACAGCCCCCCTCAACAAACCCCTTTATCTGTCTCTCTGAGGTGTATTAAAGGATTAAGATGCTATCTTTGTGCAGGAATGCCACAAGAATGTACTGCACTTACAGCACCATATGTGACGGTGGAACGGGAGTTGTCAGGGGAGCCGGGCGGTGTTGACTTAGCCTCTGCAAATTTACTCTGATCAATTTGATCTGGGTCACGATGTTAAGAACTTGATCCTCTGGTTATATGAAGGCTTTCTGGCTAAATGGTCTCCCACATGGTGGAGATACAGTAAAGAGAGGACAGTGGAAGCAATAAGAACAGACCGGTTTGATCAGCAAAGTTGACACAAGGATTTGAAAAAAGGAGTGACGTGATCGTTTGTGATGTTTGTGGAATGCTGTCAAAACAGTCAGTTTAGCTGGACATGATGCGTTTGATCCAAAGGGGCGAAATATTTGACTCATCTGTCTGTTCTAAAATTCATCATAAAACACCGTTTATCTCCGTCTCCTGCCTCACGTTCACGAAGTCTTAACTTAAGTATCACATTTGTCTCATTAGGTTCTTGTGTGTTTAATAGGAGCCAGGACTTTACATGCAAAGAAAAGGCTTTGATGTCTATTAGAAAGGGACAAAATAATGACATCTGTTTTAGTCATGAAGCCAGATAATTGTTTTTTACAGTGCGGCTGCAGTCAGAGTCTACAGACTGAAACTGCTGTATTCACTAGCTGTCACGACTTTGTGCCGAAGAGGAAAACATCAATAACCACTGAGAGAAGGGTTTTAGCAGACCAACATTAGAGCGAAGTCTTGTATGTGCACAGGACTGTTACTTAGAATGATCTTTTTTTTAAATACTTTTTTTTGTGATTTCAGATCAAATATCATATTATCTAAAGGGTTTTGTCTCTTTGTAGTCGTCACACAACGAGGTGAGGAGACTGTCGGAGCAGCTTTTTCAGAAGGACGAGGCGGTGCAGAAGCTCCAGAAGGAGAAAGAACATCTGGTGGAGCTCAGCCAGGTCAGTGCAACGATACAGATATACAGTCTGCAGAATAACTCCATGAGTGTATTATTGCACTTGCATGAAATAGTCAAAGTTTAAAGCAGCAGGGTGCAAGATATCCCAGCTTGTTTCTAGTTCAGGTCAAACTCCAAACTCTGGATCATACAATTCCTATAATGCAACCAATAGCATCGTTTGTCTGATAATGACTCCATGGCTTTCTTTCAACTACATGAATTTAATTTAAGTAATACTGGCCAGAAATGTGTCCAATATGTCCAATCCCAAGCTCAGATAAGACTGGTTTATGGAGACTTTTTATTTCTTTAGAAGCACTGACAGCAGGGAGAAGATATGTATGACGTGAGAAAGCTGGAGAACAAAGTGGACACAGTGAGGTTAATGACGGGTGCCTCAGCCCTCAGGCTATCACACTGACCTTTCACTGGGGTTAGTTTTCCAGACTTGACAAACCTCCTCCAGGGCAATAAAAGGCACCATGCAACTGTCTTTACAGACTGACTGATTGGATCTATTTCCTTATGAAGACCCACATTTATGGTTACGTCTTGGTCATATTCAGCAAAACACATTGCATCTATCCTTTATGTCTAACATATGCATTAGATGTATTTTCTTCCTCATTAAACATTTTCAAAGATGATTTTGAAGACATTTTAATTGCACATTGTTTACATCTTTGGGAAGACTTGAAAATCAATGTACTGATCGACTGTCATACCATTTTACAATTCATTTGCTACCAATAAATAAAATTTCATTTGGATTCTTTTTTTATTTTTGAGTTCTTGGCTATTTAACAGCTCCCTGCTAGTGAACAGACAACGCTGGTGGTTTCATCGGTTTCTGCAGTGTATCCTCTAGCATTGTGTGTTTTCTTTTCAGGGGCTCTTGCATTGTGCTATGCTGCTGTTGTATGGATTTAAAACTTTGCACAGTGTAAAAAAATCACCTGTTTGTTCTGTGATAAATCTAGTGTGTCTTTTACTTTTGAAGCCTTGGGTCTTCAGGAACATTTACATGGTACTGATTCAGTCACTGCTGTCGCCACCCTTTCTTAAAAACTGTGCATTCGACCAATGACTGAATAAAAGAAGGACTGATGTTAGAGGCAGTGATTACATAGTGAAATGGAAGAACAACATTTCTTACAACAAATCGAAGCATTTTAAAAAAAATTTAAAAACACATCTAAAATATTGACGCAGCATCCAAGATGCTTACGTGGAAAAATCATGGTAGCCATAGCACATAATACCAAAAACAGTGATCCACTGTTTGTCACACTTCAGTCTGCTTGTATTTGTATGCAAAAACTCCACAGGACACTTTAAATTTGATTAATCCAAACTTCTTTTCTTGCAAAGCATGTAAGATAACAAATGAGATATCATAGTATATTGTGTTGTCATGGACAACCACCATAGTCTGCATATACGGACAGACAACATATCACCACTTCCTCCCATTGTCCTCCCAAGTATCACAGAAATGGGTGCTTCCATCTTATACCAGGGACATCAGCAGTAGCGACCAGGTGGTAAAGATGTGGTATTGGGGTTCTTTATCCCACCCGATCAAATGTGAGCACACATCCCTTGGACTTCATTTAGCCCAGCTTTTGCAATTTTGACTGTCTTGGACTGTTGTGGATGCTCACATCTATCGATAAAGCATTATTAGTAGATTCTGGTTGTCTGGTCAGGTAGCTACATATCATCTACTGCAAGGGTTCCCAAACTGGGGGTCGCGGCCCCACCAAGGTAGAGTCGCTAGATGATTTTCAGGCTGTGTTGAAAACTGTTCCCCATTACAGAAATAGTGGACTATATAGTGTGTTTGCCATTTTCTACTAGTGTCCAAATTCTCAACGGTTAATTTGATTCACTATATAATTCACTATAAAATACCCATAATGCTTCCTGTTTCCTGTCCCTGTTTTCTTATGTTTCAGCCGGGATTGTGGGGGTCGCCAGTCTCTGGCACCGTTATTTTGGGGGTCGCGGGCTGAAAAGTTTGGGAACTCCTGATCTACTGTTTTGCATGGACTGGTTGTGTTCACAGGTTGCTCGCTGTAACATCAGCATTAAGCGTCAAAACACAAACTTAAGCCCTATGCTATGTTTTTGAAATTTAAACCTGAAAATCGTCCCCAGATTTAGTCAATAAGAGCTCCAACACGGTAAGACCAACATTAGCAATGTTCTAATAAGAGATTAGATGAGAGAATTTTGGAAAACAAGAAGTCTTCATGTCTCCCTCATCAGGTCAGAGTGAGATTTTTAACCACCATACAATCAAAACTGGGAATTAGAGAGAACACTGACAACGTCTCAGCTGCATCTCTACCAAATTTAATGCAGCAGAAATGAAGAACAATGCTGCATCCACTGAGTAGCTAGTATGAGGAGGCCTCTTCATTGGTTGTGTCACAGTAAAAACGTGGTTTGCTAATAATACACACAGCCTGAGCTTAGTTAAGGATCTTGTTAGGGAGGAAAGGGTTAACTTACCAAAAAAAAAAAACACACACAAAAATCCCCCTGATCACTCAGACTAGTACAGTTTACCGCAGCAACTCATTTTGTGGTTTAAAACAGACAATGACAAATTACACAGTAAAAAAACAAGATGTACGGTTCCTAAGCAGAGGTCTGCAGGTGCCTCCATAACTACTGTATTCAGAGCAGCTGTCCACTGTGACGACATCGATCTCTTTTTATATCATCTCACAACTGATCACAAACAAACTAATGAGAAAAACTAACTTTATATGACAGATTGTTTATTTGAGGAATTTGATTATCTTTTGTTTGGCTCATGCCCTATGAACTCAGATAGAGAGAGCAGGGTTTATGACCTTTTCTGCAAATAGCAAACAGCGGGTGATCCAGATATGTTGGCTTTACTTCTGGGGAGCTGTCATGTTGCTATTTTAATTTACAATTTATGGTCACAACAGTCCCATAAACATTGACATGAATAGTCTGTGTACATCTGTTGGAGTTTAAGGGAGCATCGTGAGTGAATCCAGCAAGTCATGTCTGTGTGCACATATATAACTAACAAAAAGACATGTATGCCTATATGAAGGTTTTTTGTGGCTGCATTTTGCATAAAGAAACAAGATACAGTTGAAACCAGACGTTTACACACATTGTGTAAAAAGACAAGTAACCTATTTTTTTCTCACTATCTGGCATTGAATCAGACTAAACTTTTCCTGTTTTAGGTCAGTTAGGATTACCAAAATTATTTATATTTACTAAAGGCCAGAATATTAAGAAACTTATATAGAGATTTTTTTATTACTTTCTTCAAAGTCAGAAGTTTACATATATTTCCTTAGTATTTGGTAGCATTGTCTTTAAACTGTATGACTTGGGTCAAGCGTTTTGGGTTTCCTTCCACAAGCTTCTCAAAATAGTCTGATGTTGCTCCACACACCTTTTCAGCTCTGCCCACAAAACACTGACTTTGTTGTCCTTAAGCCTCTTTGTAGCTAATATGGCGGTATGTTTAGGGTCAGTGTCCATTTGAAGACCCATTTCACCCAAGCTTTAACTTCCTGGCTGATGTCTTGAGATGTTGCTTCAATATTTCCACATACTGTTCTTTCCTCTTGATGCCATCTATTTTGTGAAGTGCGCCAGTCCCTCCTGTAGCAAAACACCCCCACAACATGATGCTGCCACCCCCGTACTTCACAGTTGGGATGGTGTTCCCAGGCTTGCAAGCTTCCTCCTTTTTCCTCCAAATGTAACGATGGTCATTATGGCCAAACAGTTTGATTTTAGTTTCATCCGACCACAGGACATGTCTCCAGTAATCAAGGTTTTGTCTCTGTGTGCATTTGCAAACTGTAATCTGTCTCATTATTCTGTGATTTAGCAAATATAAATAATTTTGGTAATCTTAACTGACCTGAAACACGAAAAGTTTAGTCTGATTTAATGTCAGACAGCGAGAAAAAAAAGGTTTAATGTCTTTTTATACAGTGTGTGTAAGCTTCTGGTTTCAACTGTATACATTGTAAACTGTCCATTGCTTAAAACAAGATGTAAAAGAATCTCCTGGGCACATATGTTTTACTCAGTTGTCAAAGAGATTGTTGTGTTGTAACGTGAGTATATCGTTTTTACGTTCCATGCTTAAATATCCCTGACAACAGAGTAGCTCTGTCACATGTGGTTGAAAACTCTGTGAAAAATCAAGTACAAGGATCTAGATTTAAGTTCAGCGTGTGGTTTTCTTGTTTGTTTCAAAGTCAGTACACCAGAAAGTCAGTTATAATACAGATTAATGTCAGGCTCAGTGTAAACAGCATCAACTACATACACACTTAGACAGCACTGGCTCTATTTGTGATTATTTATTAGTACCATATCCAGTTTCTCAGTTTATACACAGATACTCCACTTGCTGCTTTGCTAAGAATGAAACATTAGTTTTAGGAAAACAGAACCATATGGCCCGCGGACCTGCCAAAAGTGGCACTCATGATAAATGTGCTCCCCATAAGACACACGGAGCTCTCGACTTTTAAAAAAACAGATGCTTTGAAATCTAAAGAAATTGTAACCTTTGACAACCTCATCACACTCTATGGCAGCTATAAGAGGCCCCGTTCGCTAATTCCTCCCAGATGCTTTAGCCAGCAGTAGCAGTCTGCTTCATTGTGTAATCTGTGGGGATAAATTAGCATCAGGCCTCATTATCTTCCCACTGTTTGTTGAACATGTCTTAGATTATGGATTCAGTCTGGAATGAAACTGTGAAAACCCCCACCGAGAGCACCTCCAGCTGTTTCGGTGACTTTAAACAGAGTTTGATGTTTTGTAGCTTTTGTTCCCGGTTGATGGAAAGGAAAATCTCCTATCTATCAGATCAAACTCGAGACAACTTCGAACATTTTCTTTGCAACCAAAGAGCGTCTAGTTTTCCAAAGCGCCAATGTGGCAGGCAGATGAATATGAGGCCATGCGATCGAGGATCTGAGATTCAGGGACACATGTGCGGCCCAGACTCACACATCTTGTTTCATCCCTACAGCAGGCCATTGAGGACCTGCAGAGTGAAGAGGAGAAAGTGAACCTGCTGACCAAAGAGAAAACCAAGCTGCAGATGCAAGCTGAGGACGTACGTACCAAACCAGACACTGTATACCTTCTTCTATTTTATGTTAGCTGAGATACTATTTGGTATTATTAGTGTGGAAACCATGTATTACACTTACTCAGGCCCAAACAATTTAACTTCCCTTAAAGCTGCACATCATTTCCTAAATTTTATTTTAAAGTTGTTTTACGTGGACAACAGATCAAATGACTATACGTACTGCAAAAGAAGCTCCCTAATGTACAACTTTGTCAACTTGTCACCCAGAATTCCCTTCATCTTTATGAAGAGTTATAGTGTCTTTTACCTCTGTGAAGTTTTTGTTGTGGATCCAGAAGCAGAACACTGAGAGTTGAGGTAGTAAAGGTGGATTTATGACATAAATAGTCTTTAACGGGGTACAGAGATGATCAGCTGGAGGCAGCGTGGTGTGTCTGAACAAGGACAGATGACCAAACACAAAAAGATCATTGTTTTGGTTTTGCAACTCATAACTTTCCTGTTTTAGTTCCGGCAAACTGCTCTCAGCCTTGTTTCCATCTTTGATGAACTGTGTCTACTTTGGTGATCCCTTATGTGTTCCTTCTAATACATTTGTAGAGGAAAAAACAGATTTGCTAGATGTCTAAATCAGAAACTGTATGTTCGTCTGGTTACCTTCATAATGTGAAGATGCTGCGTGTCACTGTCGAGTTTTCAGTTTGTTGCTCCCACCATGTATTAAATGATATTTAAATTAACATGCAGTATGTTTATAGTGGTGATTATGTCATGGAACTGATTTTTTTTTTGACATGCTAATGCATTCTGTAGCACAAGTAGGAATGTCATAAGTCGGTGAACTAAAGTTTAACTGTTGTGTACTACTGATTATACCAGAACAAACTAAACTTTTCATTTGTAAAAGGTAGACTGTTTTATATCTACTTTCCAAATTGCATAGTCATCCTTCTTAAAAAATGTTTTGGCCAATTGGGAGCAGCCGAAACAGACTGTAAACACAATACTGACATTTCATCTCATTTTAAGTGAATATAGCTAACATATTACCAAACAAGTCATGTCAGCACACACTGGTGTTGTAACGCTGCCCAGTAACATGTACATGTAACTGTCAGTTTGGTGTTAACTTCACTTTTAGCTCAGTTTTGTACCATCAACAGATTTTTATTTATTTTTTACTAAAAACAGCTGTCTGTCGCTGGAATTACTGCTGATGGGAGCAGAGAGACTGAACCAAAATAGAAAAGCTGTGGGTGGTAACAGCAAAACCATGACGCCAAAGACACTAAAGTAATGCCGAAAAGATCTCCACAGTTGAAGTTATATACAAAAATGCTGATTCGTACAGCTTTAAGGCACACATTCAGATATTAAAATACTCATGATAACATATGTAATGTCACTTTATTTACACTCTGTAGCATTTTGTTCAGTTGATCCTGCTTGACACCACAGAGACAATAAGATAATAATTAACATTGCAGCTTTTACCCTATCGATTCAACAATATAAAAGCAATTGATTAAATGTTCCAATATATCAGAGAGAAACCTTTCTGCCTCTACTATAACTGGCTTTTAATTAAAGGTCAGTGTTCTCATACTGGTTGAACGTTTGTATCCAACAGAAGCACACATGCTGCACACATCAAATTCTGTAGTAATATTAAGGTTACAAACCAACTATTTGACAGTAATATGAGGAGTGGAAACTTAAGGTTATTTGACTTAATTGTAACCCTGTAAGCCAGTAGAGCTTGGCAGATCAGGGGAAACACTGAATACATGTAATTTTGTGCATAAAAATGGTCAAATCTAATAAATGGCCAATATAAAATATATTGATAACTGGCACAAAGTATTTAACTATTGGCAATATAGTCAAAGAAAGATGCTACTTTTAGCCTTCAAAACCACAGTTGAGCTGAACCCTACGATGAACTGTAGTTTTCACCAAATTATTGTATGTCTTATCCTTCCTGTGACTTTGCCGATGCCCAGTTGGAGTACCAGCTGGAGCAGGAGCGCCGTCAGCGTGGTGAGCTGGAGAAGAGCCGGAGGAGGCTGGAGGGCGACAGCAGATCAACACAGGAGAGTCTGGGAGAGATGGAGAGGATGAGGAGTGGTCTGGAAGACCTCATCAAAAGGTCAGTGACAGACACGCTCTGAAACATTTTCCAGTGTGTGAAAAAAAATCCCAATGTCATTATCAGCTTGCGCAACAAAATGGGGAAGCAAAGAGCTTCCAGTGCAGCCAAACTACTGTTTGGGCCTACGCAGCAAAAATGTGAAGCCAAGTTAAATTGTGGAGTTGGTCTAGAAGCATTGCTGGAGGGATGTGGGTCGATGGATTGGTGAGTCCAACAGTTTAACTCCAAATGAAATATAAAGAACACCTATAGGACTGAGTGCAGAGTTTCATGGTCCCCAGATGATCAGCCCAACTGGCTCTAGTGATCCTGACTTTTCCTGTTGCGTTACTTTTAGTGAACTCAACAACCTTTAGATAGATTAACATTCAATTTTGTCCAGACCATCACGATCCAGGCAGGATCAGTCCTGAACTGACTGCTGATTGTTTTTCCACCACGAGGCTGACATTGTGAGGGTTTAGTAAATCCCTTCATAATTCCTGAACGGACTGCCATGAGTCTTTGTACAGACTTTCATAATCCCCAGTGGATAAATCCTAATGATAGATAGAATGCCTTTATTGTCACTATACACAAGTACAATGAGATTAAGAGCAGCTCCTTCAGTGCCATACATAATAAAGTACAAAATAAAGAGCAAAAAAATGAAAAAATAGAAGAGATTTAAGTATAAAAAATCAGATAAGTTTTTTATACAGAAAAATATTGCACATCATGGTAGCCATGGTATGATGGTGGGGATCCCCTGACTTCACCTCTAGCATGGACAGCAGGTCAAAATTTTTGCTAACACAACTTATTATCGAAATGTTGTTGTTGTTGCTTAATACATTAATTTATGACAAAAGCCCATCAGTGTCAGCAATACTTGTGGGAAGTGCTAATTAGCAGACATTATCATGCTACTTAGGGGCCACATCCTTCAAATGGCCACACCTTTGCCGACTGCGAAGGCTGAACTGAGCCTTGGTAAATGAAACAGTCTGGTCTACAGACGACGTCCTATTTGTTGCTCCTGCTCTTGCATCGGAGTCAACCACTGTGGCAAAGATGCTTTTTTAGCTATTTGACTGAGTTGAAACATGACAGTTACATTTTAAAGTGCACCCCTCTGCTTCTTTTAGGGAGTCTTCCATATTTTTGTCATCATCATGCAATGAATCTTGGGATAGGCTTTGCTGCAAAGGATCCCAGAGAAAGCTGTATTTGTTGGCCAAATTTGAAGGAGCCTTGTCAAGCCACTGTGATGTATTGGGTCTTCAAACTTCCTTCAAAGGATGCAGCTCCTGAATTGAAACACAGCTATAGTACACATTAGCCCTCATTGTATTAGATGAACAGTTACCCAGGACTATATAACGTAAACTGGGTAAACGATTTTTTTTTTTTTCCCGTTTGTCAACCTGTTTGTCGTTAAGGTGCCAACATGTCAAATATGATAGACTTTTTTGAGGTGTTATTCACATGTTTACATCTAAAGAGCACATGGAGTGGCAAGAGGGTTTCTCTTGAGAGTTTTCAATAAATATATGCTGATAATGAGGTAGCACCTGGGTTACAGGTTTATTGCAGACCAACATTTCTCTGAAATGGGAAGGTTTTAGTAATACCAGCTTTGCAAGTGAAGATGCATCCGAAGCTGCTCATGACAAGAGTTTTTGTGCCACATTATTTCACAGCAGAACCGGACCATGAAAATGATAAGCAGTCAAAATATGTCCAGTTAGCTTCCTAAGAGAGGATATGACTGATTCCCGAATCTCAACTGCCTCGACCCTGCTGCTGTAAACGCACAAATAGTGTTTCACGACAAATATCCAACTTGGGAAGATTCTCATGAAATACATTGCTTTTACAAAAGCTGATGGATAGTCTTAAGTTTCGCCAGAATCAGAACCACATCAGCTGAAATATTTCACAAAAACATTGGGGATGCCTCATCTGTAAATCCACCATAAGGGGGCTGGGACTCGTGGTTACTGTGCTGACTAATGGGATTTATTGTGTGTCACTGTACGAGACATCTGTGTGCAAGATAAGACAGTAGATGTGCAGAACATATCTACATGTGTTTACTGAGAAATTATTGTGAATTTTCAAAAAGAAAAACACTTCTGACAACTTTAAAAGATATCACAGTTATCAAAATTGTTAGCATGCTGATCAAGTGTGATCCTAAAGCAACACTGCCTAAGTCCTGTTTCACAGCGGTGCTAGCATGGCTACAGACTCTAAATTGTGCCCTCCCATAGATTTTTGTTGGTTTTGTAAAAGTGAGCATGCTGTGACCAGTTTATAGAGCCAATTATAGGAGTCTTCTTTATCATTTTGTGGAATTCTCTATAACTAGTAATCAGCCTTGAAGTGGTTAAACAAAGGGTTAAACGACACCCTCTACTCAGTGTTCATGAAGAAAAATATCAACACAAACATTTTCAGAAAGCATGCACTTATGCCAGCTATGATGAAGGTTGTAAACGTACCTCATAAACGCTTGTATCGTCCCACAAAAAGCAGAAAACACATGGTGAATGATTTTTGCGAGAATTACTCTCCGCTTAGAACACGTGCAAGTGACAACAGGTCGTATCCACAGATGTCTATGGATGTTCCACTGAACTGATCATATCTACTATCCCCAGGAAAGACACAACCTGATGGAAACTTCAGAAACTTTTCCACTCTCTGATATGATGCTCCTGTCCTGAGGCAGCAGATCTTGGACACTATACTATACCTGCTCCACAGTCCAGTTATCTCCCCTTTGAGGTGCATGGCTGCCCCCCCTCCCCACCATTCCCCCCTTATTCTCTCACCCCCAGGCATTCCCTTACATCCCAACATGTTGCTATCTGCCCTCAATAACGTGAGTGCAAATGGAATCATTCACTGTACGTTACCTTGCAGCAACAAGCAGCTGAAGACAAGAGCCAGCTGTCAGAAAAGACACATACAGCACACGCCTACGGTATTGTCTCCCTCACAAAGTTAAAACTTGTTCTCTTTGGCTTTAATAGTATCATGACCCTCTTGAACATTAATAAGGTGAGTGACTCACCTTGTTGCTACGCTGCTGTGGTTTGCAAACAGTCCTTACCATCTGCCACTCACTTGACGTCAGCTTTCATTTCGGTAAGGCTTTATTGGCAATTTGTTGCGATCAAAAAGAGGTTGTCCAAGCATATACATATATAAACAGTAAAACATGTCTTGCTTATGTCAAACTCCTTTCAGACATGAACGTTGTGAACCTGACTGCTGTTTTACATGTTTGCCCCAGAAGGTCAGATGGTTCATCACGTCCATCTGTCTGAACTGAATGTCATCAGACTGACAAATACACTTTGTCTTTGTTGTTGATGATAGCATGACCTCTGAAGCATCATTTTCTGAATACCACACAAGCATTGAGGCTTGTAATAGCCCTGTCATGTCTTAATAGCCACTACAAACAGTTGTTTAATGAACTCCTTTGAATGACAAAAAGCCATGACTTCAATCAAGCCAGTGATGTTGTGTATTCTATAGCTGAAGATGTTACATGCAGTGGATTCAAAGAGCAATCAGACCTCTTCAGACCTCTTCTTTGCACACTTTATTCCAAAGTGAATTTGAAATTTATATAATTTACACTTTCCATCAGTCTATACTCAGTAACTCATGATGACACAGCTGCAGCATGTTTTTCAAATTTTTTGCTAATTTAGTAGAAACCAGAACCCGACATCTCTCATTTACAAAAGTATTTAGACCCCTAAGTCAGTGTCTGTTGAAGTCCCTTTGGCAGCAGTTACAGCTCTGAATCATGTTGAGTAAATATTTACAAGCTTTGCACACTTGAATTTGGGCAGTTTACCCCCTTCTTCCTGGCAGATTGTCAGATTGGATGGGAAGCATCTGTGAACATCTTCATGTCTCTCCACAGATGTTCTGTGTGGTTTAGGATTGGGCTCTGATTGGGCCGCTCAAGGACAGTCACTGACTTGTACTCCAGCCACTGCAGAGCTCTATTGGCTGTGTTCTTCTGGTTGTTGTTGTGGTGAAAGGTGAACAACTCGTCCCAGTTTCAGGTCACTGCACTCTGAAACAAGTTTTCTTCAAGGACCTCTTTGTATTTTGCTACATTCATGCTTCCTTCAGTTGTGACCAGTCTCCTGCCCCCATGCCCATAGCATGATGCTGCTTCACTGTATGGGAGGACTTTACCTAAAGTTCTGTTGGAAAGACGGTTGGGTTCTTGGTCCTGAACTTGCTCCGTTACTCACTGTGACTGGATGACCAACTTGAGAAAGAGTCCTAGGGGTTTTAAACTTTTTCCATTTCAGTTTCCCCTCTGCCTTACAGAACATTCGAGTCAAAATGGCTTTTATAGTGATTTTAATGTGATTCATTTACATTTATAAGATGACCAGATTAGTCTTTTTCAGCAGTTCAATTAATGTAGATTGCATACTCTCTTTCTCTTTGAAGGAAAGACCTGGAGATCAACAGTACCAGCTCCAAGCTAGAAGCAGAGGAGGCCCTCAACATCGGACTGCAGAGGAAGAGCAAGGAACTACAGGTCAGACCCTGCTGTGTTGCTGTATGCTCACAATCATCTATGCACAGCGAAAGGCTGTTGCTATCCAAAATGCTGTACAGGAGTTTTCAGACAATACGATTTCAGTTATTTTCTTTGCCGGTGCAGAGTTAGTTGAAGTTCTGTAAAGTACTGCAGTGTCTGCTGGTCAGTGCTGGAGTTCAGTGTGCCGCTCCACCGACATTAGTCTGACGGTCATGGTTATCAAATATTCACAAAATACTTATAATAATAACATTTACCTTATTTGAAGATGAACTACAACATAACTCTAGTATGTACACATTTTACACTGCCCAGCACTTTGCTCTGTGGCTGAGTGCTGCATTTTTTTGTTCCATTTGTCTTCTTGTTGTCTTTTCACCCACCCATAAAATTCGTTGTAGTGTTGCTCAGCTCACCACATCAGGTCACCTGTGCTGACTTTATAAAGGCTTCAGCGCAAATATAAAAGAGCTCCTGTGTCTGTTTCTTTCATTATTTGTTATGCCCAACTGCTTGTTGGACATATGGAGTCCTTTCTTTGTCTGGTTGATAGTCATCTTCCAGGCAGCAGGACTTCTATCTACAGCCTCTCATTTCAGAGATATGGTGAAAAAGTTCAAAGGGCTGCAAAACTGTTCATTCAATAAGGGCACCCTGATGAAATCTTGCTCAACTAGCAGCTGGTTTCCCTGGTTCGTCATTGCAAATCATCACAGAAGAGCCCTTAGTTCCATTCTGAGGCTTTATAATATGTTGACGTTTTTGAAGGTGCAGCCTTTGTTTAAGATGGGAACTAATCAGTAATATCTGTGTAGTATCTGTGTTGGGATGACAGCCTGCTGTGTTGCCTGGCAAATGATTCGTTATCATTTTTTTGCAATGACATGTTCAGCTGTAGCTTACAGCACATTGGAGAGATGCATTCCTGCCTTTCAACAGAGCTGCTGGGCTCTGCTCTGTGATTGGAGCAGTCACTTCACAGCTCTGTGCCTGTCAGGAGATGGTTAAAACACGCCGCCTACATCCAACCTGATAACCATCTCTTGCTTCCCTCCGATAGTGTGACTAGGAGCAGTTGAGGGTACTATAAGTCAGCAACAGTTCCCTCTCTTTTTAATACTCTTCAGATGTAGTGCTCTGTTCAAATTTTTTCCGACATAGCAGGATATTGGAATAAACGACGTAACGTTTGATCACCACACTGCTGACTGATATCAGTGTCATTACTTGTATTATTCTATGTCTGTAAATGGCTTAATGCCACGAATAAGTCATGCTATCATTGGCATTTCGTTGGCGTCACACTGCACAACTAAAACAGAACCCTGGAACAGTGTACGTGGTTATTGGATCAGTGATTGAACAGTGTTGTCATCTCACAAATGTTCCAGTAAAGGAAGCATTTTAGCTGGTTTAAGAAGCACCTTCTAGTTAATCTCCCTACTTAACAAATTTTGCAATGGTCTTCATGTCAGGGAAACCTAAATAGAGTCATATACACGGGAAGTGCATAAAGTGTTCATACTGGGAAGCTCCACCTGTGGACTGAAGTTCACTGAAATAAGAAAACATGACCCAGTCAGCAATGAATCTAGAATGAAGGCCTAATCATATGGACATTGGGATTAAGGGTCAGGAAAGCAGCAGCCGATAATGTATGTGGGGCAAACTGCTCAAAATAATACATGAAACACCCAGAAATGCCATCATGTTTGCAACATCCATTTTCACCATTTAGGTTCTCTGTAATGGTTTAATGGCACCCAAATTGTGACAGTGGTGCTACTCGCTGTTTGTTTCAGTGTACCAACTCCTAATATTTGGAGTCGTGGATAGAAATGACCATATGTATTCTCTTTGGCCAGTTTTCATTGGTTCCAGTGGATGAATTGCAATGACTTTGATTCCCTGATGTTTCTCTTAGCATCGTGGCTTGGAACACAATTTTGGTTCAGATTGACAAAAAAGCAACATTTGCTCAAATTTTGGATTATTGGAAAGTTAAGATTTTGTGTATAAGTCTGATCAAACACCTTCAAAACTAATGACATTTCCATCACCCTCAGTAGTAATGTTAGCTTACTACCACACGAAATATAACTGCTAATCTTGTTATTGCTAGCATTTAGCTCAAATGCTTAAATTTCAGAATCACAGCATTGCTGGCAAGGCTACAAACTCTTTGTTATGTAATGTAACTACTAACACTGTTTGTTTAGTAAGAAAAATGTACTCTTTTTGCATTCTGTACTAAAGTTTAAAGTGGTGTTTTATAGTTTGTGAACCTTGAAAATTTTCTGCAGAAATATGAGCTCAAACATCATGAGATTTATTCAAGTTCTAAAAGAGAGAAAATGCAAGAGAAAAAATGAGATAAAACATTATGCTTGGTCACTTATATACCAAGGAAAACAATTCAATAGTTCATATCTGTTAATCACAAAAGTATGTGCAGCGTTGCTGTCAGTATCTGGTGTGACTCTGTTGTGCAGCAAACATTACAAGGAGGAGCTTTGAGGAGTTTTAGTCCATCCTTCTGTACAATAAACCTTCATCTCTGGGTTTATGGTGGGTTTCCTCACATGAACTTCTCGCTTCAGCTCCTTCCACAACATTTCTGTTGGATTAAAGTCAAGACTTTGACTTGGCCATTCCAAAACATTAACTTTATTCTTGAGTAGAGAAGCGTGTGTGCCTGGAGTTCTTGTCCTGCTGCATGACCGACCCTCGATCTCGAGATACGATTCACAGACATCCTGACATTTTCCTTTAGAATTCACAGGTTTAATAATAAATACATAATTGTTTAATAATTTAAGTCAGACTTTTTTATTCTGTCAAAACAGGCCCAAACCATGATACTACCACCACCATGTTACACAGATGGGTTCAGGTTCTTATACTGGAATACAGTGTTTGTCTTTTCTTTAAACATAATGCTTCTCATTTAAACTAAAAAATTCTGTTTTGGTGTCATCTCTTTATAAAGCTATCTACCAATAGCATTCTGGCTTCTCCATGTGATTTTCAGTCAACTACAGATGAGACAGCAATGTTCTCTATGGAGAGCAGTGGCTTTCTTGTTGCAGCCCTGCTGAGCACAGCATTGTTGTGCAGTGTTCTCTTGATGATGGTCTTATGAATTAACATGAAGCCAAAGCGAGAGGTCTGATCATTCCTGGGAAAAGTTACAAGTTCCCCCATTTGTATGCACAGGATCGTTTTTACTCTCTGACTATTGATTGTTGGAGTCCAAACTCTTTAAAGGTGGTTTTGTAACATTCTTCAGCCTGATGAGCATCAACAGCTCCTTCTCTGAGGTCCTTAGAAATGTCCCTTGTTGGTGTCATGATATACTCCCACAAAAGTATGTGAAGTTCAAATTTGTGCAGTTTACTGTTCTTTAAATAAAACTGGCACCTACTTACACTTGATTATCATCCCATCGATTGAAAACACCCGACTCCAATTTCACCTTCAAACTAGATGCCAACCTGAGAGGTTCAGTCTTTTGCCATTCACAGCTGTTGAGTTATTTTCCTCAATAAATAGGTGACCAAGTGTAATATTTGTGTCTCATTTCTTTAATTTGGTTCTCTCTATCATCTTTTAGGACTTGTGTAGAAATGGGATGATATGATGATGTTTTAGGCCACATTCGAGGATAAATATACAAAATTCTAAAGGGTTTGCAGCCTTACTGATTCAGCAGAGCAGTGGCCTGAAGTTTCTTCCATTACACCAATATTGTGAAACCAGTTCCTGTTACAAAATTTAAAAAAAACAAAAGTCTAGTAACAGGAGTACGATTAGAGTAAGGTCACTTACATGTGTAGTTGTTTCGGGGTTAGCTACTTCAATTTAAAGGTAAGAAAGCAGCAGCATCCCCTGCCTCTGCCCTACAAAAGTCAGAAAAAACTTTTGAATTTGTCCTTAGAGATCTCAACCAAATGGCTCAATGGGCTCAATTTATTTATATCTCTCTTCAGATTTTTTTCAGAAACAGAGTGAAAGTGAACATTTATGTAGCATACCTCATACAAGCTACTCATCC